TGTGGATTCCTAAGATGTAAGGCTACAACTTTCGTGAAGAAACCATGTTAAAATAATGAGTTTAAAGTGGTCAAATATAGCTCACAAGTGGACTCATAGTTGCTGCCAGGATTTTGGATGTTCCAACGAACAACGATTCCGACGATTATCTCATTAACTTCAATATTCTAACGCCGAACCTTCTCTACGATACCTTCCGGATGTTCCTAATAAGTGTTAGAGAGTTTATGGTAAGTTCTTGGAATGAAACAATATGAATTTGGTGAAGAAAATGGTCCAACCCGAGGAGCTCGCCACCACTGGCGCAGTCCCGGTATTTTGGCCATATCTTCTTCGTTACTCAACGAAATTGCGAGCCGTTTGTTGGGCTGGATTCGTATCGTCCGGGGTTACAACTTTGGTTCAGAAAGTATTTCGAGATAATGGATGGAAAATTACAGAACTTACGTAGAAGTTGATGCTGCGTTTGGAACTCATGATTTCAAAACTATGGATGGTTTTCTTGCTTCTTCACCTCCTTCCTTAGTACACAACAATGGAGTTGTTGTGTTTTTCTCCTTGTTGTTTGGCCGAGAGAGAGAGAAATGGGAGAGGGAATCGAGTTGTGTGAATTTGACTTTAGAGATTTAGGGGGAATTGAAGTAGACTTAATAGCCAAAGTTATTTGGCTTATTAGCTAGTGAGGTGTATAATGGAGCTTGGAGAGATTTTCAAAACACTTAGGAAATTTCCTAAGGTGGCTTGGCTGTCCGATTAGTGAAGATTTAAGAAGAAATAATGTTTGGCTTTTTGTCTAAACTGAATAGTTTACTCCAAACGATACGCGCTTTTTCGCCCAAACTGTTCCGAATTGAAAACGGATTGCGTTTTTGAAATCAGACTGTCAAAACTAGAATTTTGATGTAATCGAAATATTTTTCTGAGAACTTTTATATTTTTCTCAGTGTCTGGGTCTGTCTCAGTCATAAATTAATTTAAAAATATAAATGAGATAAAAATATATGAATTAAATCCAAATGACAAATATAGTGTTGTCAAGTGTCAAAATTGTGATTTCTAATCTGATGAAAGGCAAACAGAGTTCTGAATTTATCGATTTTAGTTCAATGGTAAAATAAAAGTAAAAATTTAAAAATATAATATGCTTATTGAAAGGCAAACAGAGTTCTGAATTTATCGATTTTAGTTCTAATCGGGTTCGGATATTATCGGTTTCAGATCTAATCGGTTTCGGATTTTATCGGTTTCGGGTAATATCGGGTTCGGATCTAATCGGTTTTGGGTTTAATCGGTTCGGATATTATCGGTTTCGGATCTAATCGGTTTCGATTTAAATCGGATATGAATTATTTAGTTCGGTTTCGGTTCGATTCAGATCATTTCGGGTTTTCGGTTATACATCGGATCTTCATTTTTCGGGTCATTTTGGTTTCGGTTTTGGATATTTCGGTTCTGGTAATCGGTTCCGGTTCTGTTTTGCCAGGTCTAGTATCAATGCCCCTTTTTTACTAAAAAAAATGAATGGAAAATAGTACGAACCGATGTGGTGCGTGTGCAACCTTTTGAAATGATAGACATTTTTTAATAAGTTTTGAAAAAAATGAGGTATTCATACCTTTTTTTCAAACCATTTAGAGCGCTAGAACTATTTTAATACTCTATATATTCTATTCAAAAATATACATTGTCATTCGATACCTGAATCTATAAATATATGAATATCAAGATTATATTTTTTCAATTATCTATTTTTACTATTATATATTTCTCTATAAAAATTATGTTCCAATAAAGAAAAATAAAGGCTCAAAAAGTCCTACTAATAAAGAGGATGAAAACAATTCTTTTTAAAATTTATATTTCCTTTATGAATATGCTTTCATTTAAAAACAAACGTTTTATTATTTATAAACACAGTTTCTATCATAAATAAATACTATCAATGTTGGATCAATAAAAATAATTTTATTGTTGTGACTACATTTAGAAAAATAAAACATTCTAAGTTGCCTACGTACCCCAATGAAGGGGATCAAGCCACACGTAGTTCAAAACATGGTTGGTTAAATTAACCGGATAAACCTTCAAGGCGCGTGATCGTTGGAACGCTTTCCTAAAAGTTTCTTATCTACCCTATTATAAGCAACAAGGGTTACAAGATAGAACTTTTGGGATACAATGAAGGAGACCGAATTGTTCGGTTGCCCTACGAAACAATTTGTTAATGTATTTTAACGAGACTTGTCTCGAGAGAAAGGAGACGAAAAAACATAGAAAAATACACTAATTAATATTTCATCATCATAGAATAAATATAAGAAATAAATACATTATTTCTACATTATTCTAAATAATTAATGAAATAATAATTAATAATAAATCATTTTTCTAACATAATTTTTCCCTCCCTTAAAAATGGTTTATTATTAATTATTATTTCATCGATTATTTAGAATAATGAAGAAATAATGTATTTATTTCTTATGTTTATTCTATGATGATGAAATATTAATTAGTGTATTTTTCTATGTTTTTTCGTCTCCTTTGTCTCGAGACAAGTCTCGTTAAAGTACATTAACAAATTGTTTCGTAGAGCAACCGAACAATTTGGTCTTCTTCATTGTATCCCAAAAGTTCTATCTTGAAACCCTTGTTGCTTATAATTGGGTAGATAAGAAACTTTTAGGAAAGCGTTTCCAAGGATCACGCGCCTTGAAGGTTTATCCGGTTAATTTAACCAACCTGTTTTGAACTACGTATGGCTTGATCCCCTTCATTGGGGTACGTAGGCAACTTAGAATGTTTTATTTTTCTAAGTGCAGTCACAGTAATAAAATTATTTTTTATTGTTCCAACAATCAATACTGCGATGTAAATATATATAATATCTCAAACAAAATTTAAATCTTGATAGATTTTTTATACTCCCTATTATATATTTAAGGAAATTTTAATTATTAAAAAAGTAATCGAATACATTAAACTACAAAATTTTCATATTAAAAATTATTTAGTATACATAAATCCATAATGCACTAAATTTATTTAATAAATTTCTCATCCTTAATTAGTGGTATAAGATGAGTTATTTGAGAGTATATTTTAGCTCAATAAATTTTCATACAAAAGAATAAATTAATAATTTTTAAAAAACTATATTTTACTCAAAAGACTTTTAATGTAATTTTTATTTTTATGAAAAAAGACACGGGATAATTATGATTAGTTTCTTTTTTATGATTAGTTTATTTACTTTCTGTTGAAAAATTACATTAATTTCATTTACATAATTTTCAATAAATAAAAAAGTCCATATTTTTCAATATAAAATATATTTTTTTAAAACTCATCATATTTTAAATATTATCATAAATAAATTTTCATAAATGATGAATGAGAATTTAAAGCATGTCATGTGATTTATTCATGTGCCATGTAATTTAAAAATTGTCATGTAAGATGACACGTGTCAACTTCTTAGAGACATGAGTCTCAAATATTATAGTAAAGGATTACATGGCGCTGACATGTTAAAATTTTGCCAAATCAACACGCCAAATGTCGAATTCTCGTGAATCGGAGTCTCCTTTATTATAGTAAAGGATAAAGATAACCGTTTCAGGTGTGAGGTGTTCATTCAAATTCTGACATCGTATATCAGAATGAGTAATTTATCTAAATAGGACTAAAACATAATAACTTTCCCAATATATGACCATATGTTTTTATTTCCCAATGTAGGACTTTTGGTCATTATGAAGTAGTCATTATTCAACTAAATTTTCATCATTATGGACATTATTTTTCCCACTAGGTCATTATTAAGTCCTATTTAGGGAATAAAAAAGTTTAAGTCCTACATTAGGAAAGTCATTATGTTTTAGTCCTATTTAGTGCAAATTTCACTATCAGAATATATATCACCTTATTCTTCAAGGTAACTTTAATCTCTTCTTTATAATTTGGTTAAAACTTGGAACTTTGTTTTTAGTTCGCCCCATGTACTTATAATTTCAGGATCCACCACTGAAAATATAGACCTTCTCACATTTTATGAACTTTTATATAGATATTTTTAATTTAAAAAAGACATATTTTTTAAGATCTATATGAATGAGCATGGACTTTAGGCTCACGAAGAAATTTTTTATTCTTCTTTTTCTTTCCTTTTTTTGTTTGTTTCATCCCCACGTTCTTCTTTTTCTTTACTTTTTCTTCATCTTCTTTAATTTTGATTATTTCCAACCCCACCACCCCTACATTTTTTCTTTTCTTCTTCTTCCTTTTTTTTGTTCCACCCCCACACCCCATAAGACGAAGAAGAAATTAAAAGAAAAAAAAATATGGCAAGGAGAAGGGGAGAGTAGTTGGAACAAAAAAGAAGAAGAAAAACGGGAGGAGGGAGTGGGGTGGCAAAAGAATTAAAAGGAGGGGGAGTAGTTGGAACAACCCCATGACACCGTTACCGGTCCCGGTGCCGGCGCCGGTACCCACACCTGCGGTTCCAGCACTAGGCCCGGCGGATTTGTTCCATCTTTACTTTTTTTTAAAATATTTTTTATGATAATTTATAAATGTGTAAGCGTAAAAGTAAAAAAAATTATAATTTTTTAATTTATATGAATTGTAATGTCTTAAAATTTATTTGTTATTTAAATAATGAGAAATGAATATTACAAAACAACTACATTTAATCTCCTAAAGGTTCAAAAAAAGCGACGAGGTAAAGAACCGTAAATAAAACTCTTGAATGAGTTTATATATCGCTCATCTAAAAAAATGAATTATAATTAAAAAACAAAGTTATTCACTTATTCCTTAGAAATATGGCTTACCTGTGTGGTAGCATACATGTAATTTTCATTATCAATGTCGTGTCCTAACTCTTGAGCTTGACGTCTTGCCAAGAGGCAATCTTGGTTGCAAACAAGTGTCTCAAGCAATTCTGCGCTAAGACAATTTCAGCACTAAGACAATTCCAACTTGGTTAGTCAGTTAGAATGTTTCCTCTAGAATTGAATTCTTGATCCACAGCTATGGTTGAACCGGAATGGATAAGACTTGTCATGCTAGCATTCCGAGAGACGAGAAGTCAGGAACATGTGTTCAATCCGCTTCCACCGTACGAGGGCATCGAAGGCCCTATCGTTATCTTCGTCGTAATCGCATGGAACCCTTTGGTACATAACAAGTTCGTTGTGCGAACTTATAGTTGTACCACCTCAACTTGTCGAGATAGAACTACGCTTACCTTTTTGTCAAAAGGCTACTGACTATCCCTTTAAAACCTTATTTTGCTTTGGGAGGCGGAGGAGGTGCTATTTCTTCCAGCGCATTACCGTAAATTGCTTAAAATGCTTTAAATAATGACTCAAAATGATCATAAAAATAATTATTTTCATCTAAAAA